AAAAAAAAAAAGATGGAGAAGAAAACGGAAAGAAGAAAACCATATTGTTATCTACAAATTCCGTCAGCGCAAAAAAAGGAAGGGGAAAAAAAAAACAACGTTAATTTCTTCATTGCTTCTTAGTCATTGTCATCATAAACTGGAATGACAAGTGTTTGAAGGAGGAGGAAAACAACAAATTATCAGAACTTCGATGACCTCTGTAAACGCTGTTGTTTTATATGTATTCTACATTCAGCTACTATCTATACCACCAATTTTGTGCTGTGTAGACGACGATGAAGTTGTTGAACTGTTAAAAAATTTTAAACCACAAAAAACAGGTAAATATTGGCTGCATTGGTTGAATAATTAAAACAATTTATTCAGTGTAAAATATTGTTGTGACCAGTAAAATTTTACTGATTGATTTATAGGTTTCAGTACTGAAAAACCACTGTATTTTGCGCTATCGATACAGGATATTTATGTGAACAACGATGCAACTGCTGCACAACTATCTGGACAAGCAATCATGGAATGGCGTACCGCTGAAGTGTTGGATTCATGCAGTGAACGAATTGAAATTGACACTTCAACATTTGCAAGTTTTATTTGTTTCTAAGCTTTTAATGTTTGCAACAAAACTGCTACAAGAGAAATACAATTAGACAGCACAGTCTGCTTTCAGTGCTTCAATAATTTAGTTCTTTTATACGAAGAAATCAGAAGTCGAAAGTTATGGGAACAAATAGGAACAAAAGAAGAGAAAAAAAAACGAATTGTTAAATTAAAAATGATATACATATATATTATAGTGATAAGCGTTACAAATTAAAGAAACTGCAAATTTTATTTCAGTGAAAAATTATAGGTGTTGATTTTAAGCGCTTTTATAATTCATAGTTATTTGCAATGAATTTTTTTTACCAATAAAAGTGAATTTTTGCTGAATACAATTTTTGTACCAATAGGTTTTAACATTTCTGTCAGACATAGTTGATCGGTTGTGAATTGAATTAATTGATGTTGATCAAAAATGAAGTAACATTTTACTAGTATTTCAGTTGCTTGATGAACAACAATACGTTACCTGTATCATTTTAAAGTTTATCTAATTTAGGCGTTACCAATCAAATTAGGTACTTACAATGGTAAACAGTTTTTGACGCTGGAAAAGTTAGCAACATTTGCCACGAATGGAACATTTCTGACCACTCAAAAGTATGCTCTAAAAAAGAAATGCTTTGTTTTTGGTTTAATGATATTGCCAACATTTAAACTTTTTTAAATTTTAAGCATTTAAACAGCATACAGAAATTTTTCGATGTTTTCAACACATAAATATATAATATTACTGTGAAGGTTAAAGCAGTTCGTCTGGAAATCACTTTTATTGCGTTGTTATCCTGTATCAAAGAAATTCCAAAAGTTTTAGTGTAAAAAATTTTGCAGATTTGAAGTCACTACACCATGTTCTTCATATTCAGCACTGTATCCGTTTGCGAACGTTTTATGTACACTAGTTTTTTACAACGAAAAAGATCTCAGTAAATCGTCAAAGTCAGTATGGAAACCGAGATTGCTGTCGTCTAGCAATCCGCTTCCTGTGTCATATGTAAGCGATTATACTTATAAAATTTAAAAAAAAAAATTGCATTATTTTTGGTATTATTAAGGCGTTTGGGCAGTAGTGATGCTGTTACAGGAATGTTTAAAGCTACAAATTGTCTGTAGTTAGTTTATTCCTTTTTCAGAGGAACGATTTAAGATTGGTGTATCAGTCACTGCAACATGTCAGTGGAAATACCACTTCTGATGGCCTGAATAAGCTGGTTTTAGAGTTTGAACTACAACCATATCTCAACAAACTTACATTTTTGTTCTATTTTCCCAGTATGCTCATCATATTTGTTTGGTAACTTTTCTTTCTCTGTTATCAAGAATATTGGTTCTGTAGCCTGTTGTAGGCAATAGTTAGCTGCTACAGTCATAGTAACGTCAGAACAACTACCATTTATATCTCTATATCTTAGCTGGACGTCTATGCTGCTTGGTCCGATGGCTATAACTCGAGCGGTGATTAATGTCGGTTCATTTATGTTACTCTACTTGCATTATACAACAAATATGGCAAATATACCAAAAACATATGGTATTACTGCATTAGGTACATAAATGAGTAATTCTATTGTT